GCTCGGGGGTCAGGACGCACTTCTCGAGCTTGTGTCACGAGCTGCGTTTGGCAGCAGGGGTGCAGAACCAGCAGCATCAGAGCGGGGCTCCCCAGTGGGGGCTGAGCGTCGGAGGCCAGGCCAGTGCCGAGACAGAAAGTTTCAGTGACAGAGCACACAGGCCGTTGCCCTCGTCTCTAGGTTGGGAGCCTCCAAATGCGATGTCACTCACGCCTCAGAAATTCTCTGTGTTCTAAAGTCACAGTGATGTGACTTAGCGTCTCCTCGGTCAGCTGTGCTGGTGACCGGACCTGGGAGCCCCCGTCCTCGGCTCCCTGCCACCTCTGGCTCCATTGCTCCTTCCGCCAGATCGAGCCTGGCCCCTCGGGGTGCCCACACACTCACGGAGAACTGGGGGCCCGATGGGCAGCCCTCCCCTCGGAGGCCTCCCGTCCAGGAGCTGCTCTGGATGGTTCTCGCTGCCCATCGCGGGGGCCGCCCTAGACCCCTGCCCACCCACAGGGGGATGCTCCCTCCTGCGTAGATGCTGGTCCTGAAGGGCATGGAGAAAGGAGGGTCCCTCCGTCCTTGAGGGCCGGGTGCTGAAGGCACACAGCCCGGGGCCCACAGGTGCCCAAAGGTTGTCATAGAAACTGTAGGCCTGTGCCCCAGGAGCTTGCGACTTAAAGAGGAGAGGGCTCTGCCCAGAGCGCCCTCAGGGGCCGTGTCGCCCGGCAGTGTGGACACTTGTGGGCGCTGGGGGGGAGCCGGGCTTTGCCTTCTGTGCCCAGCCTGGTGCCTTTCGAGGCCGCCCAGGCCCTGCCTCCAGGGTGACCATCTGAGCCACCGGCCGGCCTGGGGCCTGGCTGATTCTGACCCTTCCCAGCCTCGAGCTCGCCTGGCCACCCCTCCTGCAACCCCCACACTGGCCAGGGCTCGTCTCTGATGGCTGGAGAGGCTTGACTCAGAGCCCACCCCCTGGGCGCGGTGCCCACTGCCACACAGCTTGGCCGCCCCTGCAGCGTCTCCTGCCAGGGACGCTGGGTGAACCCTCCCATTCCGGAAGCGGCCTGTGTCCACCCCTCCCTGCCCCCACTGCGCTTGCGGGAGTTCTGGCTCCTGGAGCAGACACCCCCGCCCAGGACGTGCTCCCCCACTCCCAGCATCGTCAGAGGAGCTAACGGAGCAGCAGGGATGGGCCCCGGGGACACGGTGTCCTCCCGCCCGTGCGGGGAGCCCCACTCCCAGCATCATCAGAGGAGCTGATGGAGCAGCAGGGACGGGCCCCGGGGACACGGTGTCCTCCCGCCCGTGCGGGGAGCCCCACTCCCAGCATCGTCGGAGGAGCTAACAGAGCAGCAGGGACGGGCCCCAGGGACACGGTGTCCTCCCACCCGTGCGGGGAGCCCCACTGGGGCCGCGAGGGCCGAGCCCCTGGACCTCTGAGTTGTCTTGTCTTGGCCGACGTGCTGAAGGGAAGAATCCGGAGGAGGGCGGATGTTCCAGGTTAACACCAGGTGGGCCCTCAGTCCCATCACAGGCGTACTGATGAGAGAGGTGTGGCGGGGGGCCTGACACCCAGGAGAGGCAGCCTGCGGGCTGAGCAGAGGCTGGAGCCACGTGGCCGCCAGAGGCTGCGAGACGCTGGGGCAGGTTCTTCCCTGGAGCCTCCAGCCAAAATGTGGTCCTTCCAGCTCCTTGAGTTTTTGTTCAATTTTATTTTTATTTTTTTGACACCAAATCCATTCTGTATTGGGGCATAGCCAATTAACAATGTGATGGTTTCAGATGCACAGTGCAGGGACTCAGCCATCCATATATGTGTGTCCATTCTCCCCCAAACCCCTTCCCACCCAGGCTGCACACGGCACTGAGCAGAGTTCCCTCTGACGTACAGCAGGTTTTCCAACACCTTGATTCTGTCCTGGTGACACTGACATTGGCCTCCAGACCCGTGAGAATAAATCACTGTTATTTTAAGCCACCGAATTTGTAGTCATGTGTCCCAGCAGCCACAGGAAGCTGATCTCCTGGACCCATAAGACAGGGATGCCTGCATCCTGATCGTGGGAGCCGGGGAAGCTGGAGGTCATCCCTCCCCGCCTCCAAGGCAGGACGTTCTTCCCCACACGCCACTCATTGTGTGTGTGTGCGGTGGGGGGGTTGGAGGAGCCTGCCTCGCCAGCGGGCCTTAATTTGGCCTCAGCATCTTATGGACCAAACCTCCCCTCTCACTCCAGTCACTGTTTCTCCAGCATGAGACTAGTGGATGCTTATTGGGCTAAAAAAAAAAGAAAAGAAAATGAAAATACAGCCCACCCTCCCACCAGGCCCTCGTGGTGCACACGAGGGACATTTCAAGCATTATCGGGTGAACCGAACACCGTGTGGATGCGCGTCACGCTATTTTGTTGAATGTCTTTTACCCTTGTTCCAGGATTTGTTTTTGTGATCTTAAAACATCTCTGCCTTCGAGCACAGTTTCCCCGCTCATGGTTCGCCCACGGCAGCTGTCTCTTCTCCCTGCATTTTCCTGGTGCCATTTCTCCTGGAATTAGCGTCTGCACACGAAGCATCACTCTGGCGCATGCGTGGGCTCAGCACCCGTGGCCTCCTGGGCCAGGAGGACCGGATGCTGTCAGGCCCGGGTCTTGGAGACGTGTCGTCTCATGGGGTCCAGGCACCAGCCTGTCGCTTCTTAGGCCGATGTCAGCTGGTCCCAGAGGCCCTGCCATAGAGACCACTTGGCAACCAGAACACCCCAACCACTGAACGATTTTAGAATCGCACCCCAAGACCACCTCACTCACATCTCTTGGTCGGGTGGAGTAAGCCCTTCGGCCTGTCCCGTTCTCCATGGGAGAGCTTCATTTTAAAGCCGGAGTTTGTCATCTCTTGTGATGCTCGGGTTGCTGTTTTAGGAGAGTACACCTTCTGCGTTGTGCTTAAAAACCCGGGTCGTGCTTCTCCGGTGGTCAGGGCCCCTGGACACCTCCTGTCTCACTGAAAACCATGGAGCTCGGGCGGTGGGATGAGGCTGGGACTCTGCGTCCAGGGCATCGTGCGTGCTCACGACCTGCTCTCTTTTCTTCTCTGCCATTTCCAAGCCGCCAGCAGTAGGAGGCACTGTATGTGCATGACTCCATTTCCTTCTCCAGCCATTCTGTGCCGCTGGAAATATGCCCCCGCTGGCTGATCTAGAGGAAGAAGCAGCAGCTTATGAACTGCATTTCCCAGCGCTGGGGTTACAGGACGGAAGCCCGTCTGGGAAGCGGGTCACAGGGCGGCCAATCCTGGGCGCCTGCTTCTGTCCTCTCCACTCCTAGCTGCGTGAGGTTAGGTGCTGTTTTATGGGAAAGTCCTTGGAGGGAGTCAGTGATGTATGAGGAACACACGGCCGGCTGCTCTGGTCACCCTGGGCCGGCCCGCTGCCCCTCAGACACTGGGACACAGTCACCCTGGGCCGGCCCACTGGTCCTCGGACACTGGGACACAGTCACCCTGGGCCGGCCCGCTGGCCCTCAGACACTAGGACAGATACCCTGGGCCAGCCTGCTGCCCCTCGGACACTAAGACGGATACCCTGGGCCGGCCTGCTGCCCCTTGGACACTGGGACACAGTCACCCTGGGCCAGCCCGCTGGCCCTCAGACACTAGGACAGATACCCTGGGCCAGCCCGCTGGCCCTCGGACACTGGGACAGATACCCTGGGCCATCCTGCTGCCCCTCGGACACTGGGACACAGTCACCCTGGGCCGGCCCGCTGGCCCTCGGACACTGGGACAGTCACCCTGGGCCGGCCCGCTGGCCCTCGGACACTGGGACACAGTCACCCTGGGCCGGCCCGCTGGCCCTCGGACACTGGGACACGGGCGCACTGTCGCCTTCCTGTGCTAAGGCTTCCGGGCAAGGACGGTGCCAGCCCTTGGCGGGTCCCCAGGTGCCCGAGGAGCGCCTGTCTGTGACCTCTGCCCTCAGGGCCCTACCCGAACACCCAGTGTCTTTAGCCCCTTTCACCTGCCCCCTCCCACACCGTCCCCCGCCAGCACTAGCACCATCGGCTGAAATTCTTCTGAATTCCTCATTTGACAGTCAGACTAAGCTGGCAGTCTGTCCTGATGGGCTGGAGCAGTGGATCTTGCCAGCTTCCCACAGACCCACCCGGAAGCCCCCCGCCTCCGCCCGGTTCTGACTCGGTCGGCGATGCCGCGGCCGCCGTCCAGGGGCCGCGCTGTGAGAGGCGCTAACCCAGGTGCAGGAGTCCCCGTGGCGTCCGGCTGACTAGGGGCCGCAGAGCTTTCCGCCCGCTGGGGAGGAGAGTGAGGACGCCCCGGGTGCTGGTGGGCGTGGCCGCGGCCCCTTCTGGCAGATGATTGACAGGAGTTGGCGTCAGCCCTCCCCGGCTGGAGCCTCCACCAGCTGCAGCGCGGAGCTGCCCCTCTGTGGGCGCCGCGGCCTTTTCTCCACTTTAGTTTCCGTTTGCTTCTCCATCTAGAATGGGCACCGGGGCCACCCAGGGTCTTGGGGAAGGCTTCTGCGTCTTCCCCCCGAGTCAGCCCTGCTCTGATGCGATTCTAATGCTCGGCGGGTTAGAAGCCACCAGCCTCTACAAAGGAAAGAGACGACTGTCGGGGTTCCGGTGCCGCCATGTGGGGGCTGGTCGGCTGGCTGCTCAGACGGAAGGCGGACCGGCTCTCCCGGCTGGGGGTGGTGGCGGCGAGGGGGTTAGGATGCAGATTATGCTTCGCCGGGTTTGGGCAGCGACCCCGCTATCACTGATGTTGCTGGACCAGGCCAGTGCTGAGTCTCCAGGCCTGACGGCTGGGCCCCCACGCCCCACTGCCTGCGGTGGGCAGTGGCAGCGGGCAGCTTCTCTCGCGGTGAGGGTCAGAGGCTCCTCCCCCCCCGCTTCAACACCGTCGGGTCGTCTGTCTGTCGGCCGGGTCCTGATGCAGGACACTCAGCAAGTGGGTCTGTTCTCCTTTTGTGACCTTGGATCTTGCTGCTTCTCTCTTCGCAGTACGAGACGCGAAAAACCTAATCCCTATGGATCCAAATGGGCTTTCAGATCCTTACGTGAAGCTGAAGCTTATTCCTGACCCCAAGAATGAGAGCAAACAAAAGACCAAAACCATCCGCTCCACGCTGAATCCCCAGTGGAACGAGTCCTTCACGTTGTGAGTTGAACCCCCTCTTCCTGGTGTGTTTTCTCCTTCACACTACTATGAACAGTGATAAACTGGGCTTATTATAAACGTCTTCAAACATTGATTCCTCGCTAAGCTCTTCTCCCACGGCTGCTAGAGACGTAGCTGTGGTCACCTTTGGTTGATGGATAGAGACTCAGTTTACCAAGACTTATACACGATGCCCCAAGTTACCCTCAGTAACTCCTGTACCAAAAGTTCTCTTACATTACAAATATAAGATCAAGTCCTCTTGGTGGACTTCCGTTTGTGTGTGTGTGTGTGGCGGGGGTTAGAGGAGGTTGTAGGTAAGAGTTTAAACAGTAGTTTTTAAAACATGAAAGAAGTGGGTAACCGTCAAAGCTGATATTGCCACTGAAATGGGAAGGTTATCTTTACATCTAAGCAGGAAAGACTTCCTGGGGAAGGTGACATTTAGTGTGGGCCTGAAAGGAGTGGAAAGATTTTGGAGACAGAGATGGAAGGGGAGAAAGGTTGGGGAGTGGAGGAATGAGTAAGTCACAAGCAAGAAAGCTCTGAGTGCAGCTGAGCGCAAGCAAGGTGCCCTCTCTGCGGATGAGAATGCAGGAAGCAACTGATCTGTGCACACCCAGACATAGCTGTCTAGGGTAAAGATCAGAGGCTGTCCAGCTTTGCTCTGGGAAGGGCTGGATGGTAAATAGTTTAGACCCTATGGGTCATCCAGTCTCCGTTGCAGGTACTATTCTAAATTCAGAGCTGCCATAGCCAAACGTGTCCAGACAAATGGCCATGGCTGTTTCAATAAAATTTTATTTACAAACACAAGCAGTGGGCCTGACTTGGCCGTGGCTCCTGGTTTGCTAACCCCTTGTCTAGAGCTTTGGTTGCCAAGGGGCTGGCACTTTGTTGATGATGGAGAACCACAGGAAGAGAATTGAATATACAATTTTTTTAATCTCAGATTCAGATCTCGAGCATGTGATATTGTCCCTTAAACCACAGTAAAGATAACCCCGTATCCGTGTGTGTGTTCTTTCACAGCAAATTAAAACCTTCTGATAAAGACCGGCGACTATCCGTGGAGATCTGGGACTGGGATCGAACCACACGGAATGACTTCATGGGGTCCCTTTCCTTTGGGGTCTCGGAGCTGATGAAGATGCCGGCCAGCGGATGGTGAGGAAGGCTGAGTGTGTCTGTGTGAGCCAAAAGTTAATTGTCTGAAAACATTAGCGCTTTCAGAGATTCAGGAGATGAGCTGGCTTCATTCCAGAGGGACCATTGCGTGTGCAGTTTCCTGGGTCCTGGCTCCCCAGTAAATGCATTTCAGAACCAGCTGGACTGGAGCCTGGGGGTGGGGGTGGTGTTGAACCCGGTGGTGTCAGCATGGTCTCACCCTCCTTCGCCCCATGTCTCTGAAGGTACAAGCTGCTGAACCAAGAGGAGGGTGAGTACTACAACGTGCCGATCCCCGAAGGCGACGAGGAAGGCAACGTGGAGCTCAGGCAGAAATTCGAGGTGAGACGAGCTGCGTGAGTGAACCACCCTTCTGTTCAGAAAGTTTCACTCCAGGAAGGGCCAGATTTTTGCGGTCACTGGGCTGGAAGGCAAAAGTCATTTAAATGTTAATCTTTGTCCATATCTAAAGGCATAAATGTTGCATCATCATCACCTTGCTTCACAGCCTGTTGACACTCGGACTGTAATCCTTAGATATCAGAAACAGCTCTGCAGGGGGTTGCTTCCTGCTAGGAGTCGGTCTGGCATCAGTGGGGAGAAGGGCAGGTCCTAGGCTTCTCCAGGCGGCAGAGTCCTCAGGTGTGACTGTCGGGCCAGCATCTTCCTTTTCTCTGCAGACCTCTAGGAAGGGGGGCTCTTTCTCCCCACCCGGGTGTGCACCCCCCTTCTGCCCCGGTAGTGTCACCTCTTCCTCCCTCGCTTCCCTCCTCCTCCCCTCTTCTCTCTCCTCACCTGCCGTCTCAGCTCTTAATGCAGTTTCTGCTCCACGCACCTGCCTTACGCTCCACATCACAGCTTGCCACCTCTTGCCATTTCTCCAATCACCTGTGTGTTGGTCGTTCGAAGGACCCATGTAGTAGCTGATTGTGTCTCTGCACCAGGCTCACGGGGGCTTCCCTGGGGGCTCAGACGGTAAAGATTCCGCCTGCAGTGCAGGAGACGGGTTTGATCCCTGGGTCAGGAAGATCCCCTGGAGGAGGGCACTGCAGCCCACTCCAGTGTTCTTGCCTGGAGAATCCCGTGGACAGAGGGGCCTGGCGGGCTGCAGTCCATGGGGTCACAAAGAGTCAGAACAACTGAGTGACCGAGTACTCATACACATACCTGATTCATCACCTTGTGAAGCTTCCCCCTCCTCGGGCGGTTCCCAAGCCCTGAAGAAGTTCAGGTGCGCACACACGCGGGCAGAGGCCCTGCACGGTCGGTGCCCTTGGGTCCCTCCTCCTGGGCTTGTTTCTTCTCCCAAATATGTCCCGTCCCATAGGAGCGTAAGGCATACCTGCCAGTTAGAGTGGGTTCCGGAGGATGTAAAACACAAACGCTCACAGTGCTTTGTCACTGATGTCGTCGTCGTCGTTCAGTCACTCAGTCGTGTCCGACTCTTTGCGACCCCGTGGACTACAGCGCACCAGGCCTCCTTGTCCTCCACTCTCTCCCGGAGTTTGCTCAAACTCATGTCCATTGAGTCGCTGATGCCTTCCAACCATCTCATCCTCTGTCATCCCCTTCTCCTCCTGTCCTCAGTCTTTCCCAGCATCAGGGCCTTTTCCAGTGAGTCAGCTGTTCATATCAGATGGCCAAAATATTGGAGTTTCAGCTTCAGCATCAGTCCTTCCAATGAATATTCAGGGTTGATCTCCTTTAGGCCTGACTGGTTGGATCTCCTTGCAGTCCAAGGGACTCTCAAGAGTCTTCTCCAACACCACAGCTCGAAAGCATCAGTTCTTCTGGGTTCAGCCTTCTTTATGGTCCCACTGATCACTGACATTTGGTTCAGAGGCTGTTGACGGCAGACACTGCGGGCAGGGCCTGGATGCCCTCAGGAGTGTGGAGGACCGGGCCTGGAGGGTGCTCTGCGGGTCTGTGGTAGAGGTCCGCACACCACTTGCAGGATCACCCCAAAGACTGCAGATGCCTGAGGATCACAGGTGTGTCGGCTGTTACTTATCCTGGGGAAACATTTTGAGATTATCCTTGTTACTGATTAACAAAATGTGACCCAGTTATGATGAGAGTTAAGACATTTAAATCACTGCACTTGAGACTCAGTTGCTAGGTTGTCTGTGGAAAGAAAGCAGGCATTCTTCTGTTTACTGTTGTTGAAATTGGATTTTACAAAAGCCTCCATTGTCTTTGAAGACTTTAGTTAGTTCAGGATATTCTTCGGATGGGAAAAAAAAATGGTTCATTGGAGACCCCCGACAAAGTGTAGCTGTGTGTTGATTTGATCAGGCTTGCCAGTGTTACCATGGAAACCTGAGTACTTTCAGGTGACCTTTTGGACACAAAACAGAAAATCTATGTGCCTCAGTATGGACTCGGCTTCCCCCCCCAAATGGCTTCCTTAATTACTTTCTGAGCTGTGTGGTGTTAAGGGTGGGGTAAATCTATAAAATGCACTTCGGTGAAAAGAGATTTTGTTTTCCTCTTTGTGCGTCAGCTCTTAGAGGCAGAGCCTTAGATTGAAATGGGATGAGGTTCGGTGTTGGAAATCATTTTCTCACCTCTGTCTGAGCATCAGCAGCAGGGATTAACACTGCTCCTCAGCAGAGCAGACTCCAGGGCAGACTCTGAAGGACGCTGCACAGAGTTTCTAATATTCTGGGTGGCGGGGAGTGCATGCTCTTGTGTGACCGTGTGGCAGCGTGTTTTCAGGAGCGTGCCATGGTCTACACCCATCTCAGAGCTTGCCTGTGCTCTGTGGTAAAGGCCCTCCCTGTGTCTCAGGCTCGTCACCCCCCCAACCTCACATCACCCTCCAGCCCTTTAAACGGCCCCGGCTTCCCCTGTGCCCCCTGCTGGGCACACCTGAACGTGTGTCCCCTCCGCGTGCATCCGGAGAGGAACCTCGGGTCCTGCTGTGAAGGCTTTGGAATCTAAACTTCAGGCCCCACGGGGCAGCCACATCTGCCGGTCACTTGCCCACATCCAGGGAGGGTGCCTGAGCTCGTGTCTGACAAGGGAAGCTGTCAGGGCCGAGTCTCTCTGCAGCCCAGGGTCTGCTTCGCTTACACAGCCAGGCGCCTCGAGCACTTGGGCCAGCAAACCGACTCGCACGATGAGCGTGGTCACGCCTGGAGATGGACCAGCTCCTTTCCCAGAAAGGGGGAATTCTGGAAATTTCCAGCTGGTACATGCTGCATCTCCTCAATGCCAAGTACCACCTGTGGGGACAGAGGCATCAGACGGGGGCTCCACTGGTGGCCCGGTGGCTAAGAATCCACCTGCCAGTGGGGGGGACCCGGGTTCAATCCCCGGTCAGGGAGGATCCCACATGCCACGGAGCAGCTGAGCCTGGGAGCCACAGCTACTGACCCGGGCCCTCGAGCCTGTTCCCTGCAGCAGGAGAAGCCTCCATAATGAGAACCCAGCCCCACAGCTGGGGAGCAGCCCCCTCACGCTGGAGCCAGAGAAAGTCCTCAAGCAAAGACCCAGCAGAGACAAAGATAAGTGAAATTTCTTTTTTAAAAATGATGGACTTCAGACGGGACCCTGGCTCCCAAGGACACCACAAGCACGAACAGTGTTGGGAACTTGCCCCTGACTCCCCAGCGTGTGGGTAACATCCTGACCTCCCGGGAGGCAAGTGGGCCTGCTCCCAGCCCCCACCCCGCAGCTGACCCAGCTGGGCGTGGCTGACCGTGGCCCCGGCGTGGCTCTTCCTCCAGCCCTCGGGATGCCAGCCCGGCCTCACTGCTGAGGAGGCGTGGTTTGCTCAGTGTGGGGCGAGGCATTGGCTTGGGGGCTGCGGCCCGAGACAGGGCCCAGGAGCCTGAGGCCAGGAGCTTGGGGCTTGGCTTCCCTTCTGTTGATGGCTTTTGTTCCCACGGATGAGGCCTCCTTTCCTCTGAAGACCTGGGCCTCGGACGTGCCCCTTCCCAGGTCGTCAGACCGACAGATGCAGTCACGGAGCCTCGGAGCGGGAGCTCAGTGAGTCCAGCAGCTGGTGTGTCTTCAGCGGGTCATTGCAAACCAGCTCCCTGACAGTTGGGCTCCTCCACTGACCTTGTCCACCTTGAGCAGGGGGAGCGCGTCCTCCCGACCCCCACCCCGACCCCGGCTGCGGGCCAGGAAGGTTCCCTCCGGACTCTGGGACTGGCTGAGTCACTGCAGAAGCCTTTCCTTTGATTTTTTTTTTTTTTTAAGGAATTTGGGCTATTTTGTTATATCCAAGCTTGAAACAGCTAAGAGTTCTTTCTGGGTCCATTTAAGTCAGAATAACTGCCCAGTGACTGCATGGCAACTGTATAGAAGCGTCTCTGCTGGGGGATTTTCACCTCCTATTCCAGGTGGAGGTGGGAGGTAGGACCCTTCTAAAGCCATGCCATGTTCGTCTCAAGGCATCTCAGCCAATCTGAAGACCTCGGTGCCTCAAGGACTCAAGCAGAGACGTGCTGCTCCATCAGGAAGGTGCAGGAGATAGACTCAGGCTTATATTTCCTCCGTGGTTATTCCAACACCAGGGTCTCAGTAAGGACAGTTTTGTTTCTCTTGTTCCCTTCAACCTGGATGTGGATTAAGATCTCTAGTCTAAAATAGAGCTTTTGGGGATTGGCATAAAATGGCCTGTTCTGAGAATGACTATAAGGAGATCTGTAATTACCGGTGTATAGGGCCATAATTATAAGATGTAGTAGACGACAGTCGGTCCAGACCTGTCAAAGTGATGTGACATTCACTCACTGCCCAGTATCCTGTCTTAGTGGGCAAAGCCTTCTGAACACAAGCATCATCCTTTCGTCTCTGGTCTCCCCTCTGCTCAGGAACAGGGCTGTTGTGCACCTTGCAGGCTGTGGACTTTAGGCTCAGAGAAGCAGCCCCCTCACATTTTCTCCCAGCAGCTGACCACCTCCCACCACCACCCCGTGTCAACTTGAAGAATTAATCCCATGACTGCCTGCATAGAATTCTCTGTTAAGATGGTCTCACTTGTTTTGGTCACACTGGTACTTGAAAAAGTCAAGTTATCCGATCATGATGGGTCATTTTAGGGAGAAGTTCAAGGTGAACAGAAGTCCTGGTCACCTGGCATTTGGTCAGCCAGAACTCGGCCAATCAGCTGCTCAGCAGGTTTGTCTTTTGCCAGTAACCTTAGGCTCTTCAAGATACTGAAGAGCCTTCTGAATTATCAAGAAGAAGTACATTGTGTTACACACAGTTTTGGCAGTGGGTTTGGTTTTATTTTCATTTACAAATAGCAGCTCTCTGTGTATAAAGCGACTGGCAACTGGCTATTAGGGCTTCCCAGGTGGCTCAGTGGTAAAGAATCTGCCTGCCAG